CTAAAATGTTTCACGTAATTAAAGAGATTAAAAGTTAACGTAAGAAATGTCATTCTTCGCAAATTATCACGTACGCTTCCGATACGGTGTATGCTTTAATTATCGAAGTTGCTGTATTAATGACTTTTTATCTTAACACTCGTAAGAAGGCCATTAATCACGAGCACGATTTAATGCGCCGTATCATAAATGAAGTGGAAGTAATCAGCGATACTTTCGTTGTTGCAACAACAGCTTTAATGAATTATAGACTGCTCGGGTGAATCAATCTCGGTGGGACGTTACCATTTTTTAACGCACGGCTGAAGTAGTCAATGTGAAACGATAACACGGCTAATGATACACGATAAGCGTAATGTTGTTATGAGCTTCCTTGGTTCCGGTGTATTCACATATTTTAAATAAAGATACCGGTTGCTCGAAAAGCTAACCGCTGCATACCTTTAGATAAGAGTAACAACATGCGTTAAACGTGTCAACTTGGTTGTATCTCGCAGTAATGTAGTTATAATCAAACATATTACAACCGCTGAGTATTCACTTCTATTATTTTGCAATAAAACAGCAAAATTGCAGGATGACATTTATTAATAGACTGCGGATTTTATGTCTTTATGATATAAACTAATGTAATAGACACATAATAAACATAACCAAAAGGCATATGCACTTGTGCAAAATGAAATAACGATATCATTAGAGTAATTGTAGAATATTCTCTATATTATTGCACGCCATAATTGCATATAATCCGCAGTCTATTTATTAGAGATCTGAAAGGTAAACGCAGGTCGGGACGTGTTTATAGGGACGCGTGACTTACGCGTCGTGCAACGCACTTCATAAAAAGAAACAAGAAAGAAAGCTCGAGATAAGTTACCATATAATTACAATGTCGTTGCATGCTGCGACGAGAACTATGACTGCCAAACAGGCGAAGCTCGAGTAATCGTAGGGGTAAAAATTGAGGAAGCCGTAATAATATGTATACGTTCGCAGTATGTGTGTACGTGGGGATATCACGCGCGCGTAATTGCATCAGCAATCGTAGAATTGATAGTACAAATGATGCATGCACAATTTACTAATAGACATTAAACACTGAACAAGGCTAAAACACTATACAGGGAGGTTCTAGGTTGGTCAATCTATAAAGTTCTTTTCTAAGTTAACGTAGAGAAAATGTACAAAGGTAATGTTGGTAGTACTGGTCACCCACGAGAGGTAGTTTTAGTTTTCTTTTGTTTCAGTAGGTTGGTAGGTTGACACAGTTTTATGATCTCGGATAAGTTTTATGTTCAACGTTCTCACATGTATTATTTTTCTCTATTAACTGTAATAAATATACTTATACAATAAGAATGAGTTTATTCATCTTGAAACTCTTCATCAGGTAAGCTATGAATAACCTAGAAATTCGTGGGGTCAGTTAAGACCTCAAAGAACCTCCCACTGTTTATAACAAGGCTAAAACACTGTACACGGATGTTCTAGGTTGGCCAATCTATAAAGTTCTTCTCTAAATTAACGTAGAGAAAATTGACAAAGGTAAGCTATGAATAATCTAGAAATTCGTAGGGTCAGTTGAGACCTCAAAGAACCTCCCACTGTTTAAAACAGTGAAAAGAACACGAGTATCTAGTGACGATAAAAGAAAAGAAACTCGTCTTTCCTTATAATAACAAAAGTTACTGCATCACAGAAATGCACGTCAATTTTCCATTTATCCAAAGTTTTACACAATCTGCATAACACAGAGGCTCACAGAAAAATATACATGCAACGTTGGAGATCTATGTATGCCAGAAACTATCAGCAGCAGAAGCGAAAGCTTTCGGGCAGATTAAACATACAAATGGCTCGGAAGATAACGAAAAATTATAGCGATGGTGTGCGCGTGCACTGTTGATTAGATATTGCACGTATGAACGTCGGTGCGAGTTGACGTTTCTGAGTTACCAAACTCGTGGACAAAGCGACGCGGAGAAATGGAAAAGAAGCGAGCGAGACACGGGCGCTATTTTCCAGACGTGAAATGTACACGTGGCTAGTATACTCTCTGCTCACGTCTGCGACATCACGCGAAATGAATTCAAATCATCCAACGAATAACACGAACCAACATCGAGTAATGTTATATCAGAGGGAGAGTCAGTAGACGAGCAAAAGAAAATAACTTCTTTCGGATTACCATGGCGCTGGCTTGTTCTCGAAGGAAACACCATCTTTAAGAGGGGGATTTTTTTTATAAATTAAAAAATTAATTTTTGAAAAGTCGAGTGCCAAGTTCACATGGCTCTCTATTAGCCATTAGATAGGGGAAAAGATATCTTAAAATATCATTTTTTCATTTATACCCCATCCTATTAACAATTTTCAAAATTTTCTGAATATCTGATCGCCACTACCTTCGAAATGTTGTACTTTTTTGTTTTAAGATGTTTCACTTTTTTGTTTCAGATGATCAAGTACGATCAAATCCTGCTCGTCGAATGACTCTTCTACTTTCAAGTGGTCTCGTTAAAGCGCCGTCTAGGAATATCCACATATCGAAACATTGCGATGAAATCAAAAATTAATGTTAAAGTGCCGCTACCAAATAAAAAAAAAAAAAAACATCATAATTGCACTAGTACTTTTCCTACAAAAAAAACTCTTGAAAATTGTCTTGAAAATTAAACGTTACGCAGGTGGACCCCCTTAATTTCTCACAAACTAACAAACATTCACCATGTAATTATTCTTTGATTTCCAAATAGCCTTTTCTACGGTCCTCAAGATGGCGCTGCCTCTTAATCGCCTTTCTCGAAGCCGTATTAGCAAGTCAGAACTCCAGCGCACGTAACGAGCCCAACCAGAAATTTTGCAAGGTCCCCAGGGATCGATCGTGGCACATTTAAAATGTTAAACGAATCTCGTGCCAATGAGAGAGGAGAGGAGAGGTGAGGAGAGAACCAACACACACGGATGCTCGTTATAGGAAACAAGAGAGCGTATAATCGTCGGTTCTTGACTTACATTCGGACAATGCACCGTTTGTCACCAGATACCGGGCGCGTTCGTACTGCAAGCTATTGGAATTCCCAACGTTATCCTCCTAACGATCAAACATGAACACGCGCTCGCACGATCCAAGCTCGGGGATAAACAGCGAAGAGATCGCCGCGTCCATTTTTCGCGAGATCAAACGGCCAAACTCGCCATTACGCGTTAAATTCAAAAGAATCTCCATGCATAACGAATAACCTCTACGTGTACATCTGTTTATGTAGGTCGCGCGTAGCGTGCCTTGTCACTCGAGTGGTAACTGGGTTATTCCGTGGCAAGAGGGTCGAGCCACCCTGTTTAACCCTCTAGAATACCGAGAAAAACTGGGGGAACGGGCTTGCAGAACCCGCAACTCGGAAAATCATATTTACGAGAGATAGCCGATAAATTAATTATCGAGCAACCATGCGACGGAAACTCGAATTTTAGATAGCAAAATCATGTTATATTAAGTTGTCCCAGAAGTTTCTTTCGTTTCATTAATAAGTAACACATACACAATATTTTATGTCAAATGCTACATTATTGAATCGTGTACGATTCATTTTGCTCCATTATTAACATCTGCAATAATTAATTAATTATTAACATCTAAGAAATTATGTTGTCTATTTATGTAAACATTGCTACACAAAATAACCGAATGCAAGTCACGGAAGAAACTTTTGGGACAACCTAATACATTCCATATAAATAACGTGCTAAAGGAGAATCTAGAAGCAAACTAATGAAAGCTGAGAAATAAAATGAAAAAGAAATATGTTATTTGTCGTGCAAAAAGCAATTGTATGCGAATTTTAGAAATGAGTTATGTAAGGAGCAGTCAAATAGTGAAACAGTATAGTGAAACAGTATTCGAATTAGATGAAAATAAAGAACAGTAACAAAGCTGTGCCAACTTTACTACAAAATGTTACTCTGCAAAATTTATTCTACGGAAATTGAAATTATTCATAAATTATTCTCTTGTTGATATATTATAACTTTCCTAAGATACACCTTTGCAATTACTTATGAAATACTAGTTTTTAAAAATCATTTCTCTAGAGTTGAAGAGTGCACTATAAATTACCATACACGTGGAATTGAAGACTATTTTCTAAACAAGATAATTTCATGGAATGATAAATATCACATACGACTGATTTCTGTTAAAGTGACATTCGTAACAATTAGTTAAGTGTCAAAAAACGTTACAAATGAACTTTTACACAAGAAACTAGATTTTAAATTAAATTGCATTTTATCAACAAATGTCACTCTGCATAAGTATTAAAATTTGCATACATACTATAACCGTTTAATTCAATTCAAAAATAAATTCAGAGTCGACGAGGTTAAAGACTGAACAAAATTGACAGAACAACAAACTACGCCAATAATGACCATGCGGAGTAAAAGGGAACCGGATTGCCAAGGTCGTGCGTCAATTTCAGAGAAACTTGAACTCTCACAATTAAACATAACCTTGACAAGACGGGACGGTTTATCACCCCTTTCTACAGACGTTTGACGAAACACGTTTCTTATTCTACGTCCAACTACATAATGCTATTTCGTATGCGCAAGATGTAAACAAATCGCTCGCCAATGACATGGGATCACAAAACACTCTTTTCTTCTATATCCAACGTGTCCTAAACGAATTCTATTCGACTAAAAATACCATACAGCACTTTACACTAATGCTTAACCTATCGAACCACCAGATCGACAATCCAGATTGTAACCTTCATCAGACACGAGCCAAAAGCTGTCCCACGAGTCAACAGCTATCGTTACTTCCATTGAGACAAGAATGCAGCCCATCTCCGTTTCCAAACGGCACACGCGGTCGTCGCGAAACGCGAACAAGTCTTAGACGAGTCATTCGGACATTCGTTGTGACAGCTACCACGAGGGACGGTCGCAAAGTCGCAATACGTGTTGGCAATAGGACAGAGTCGACTTACCTAACAGTTAATCGACTAGGGGGAACGTCCTCGTAGTAATCTCAGGCAACGCTTTCGCCGTTGCAATTCACACACATCAGCACACTGGACACACGCGAACGGAAACGTGTCAGCGAACGAGTACACGAAGTTGTACGCACCGAACACAGTGCGAGAACCTTTTCGTGTTCCTAATTACGGTGCACAAGAAGAAACCGCACGAAAACGTCCGGAGAATCGGTGAAACACGATACAATGTTGACAAGTTCACGCCGCAATCGAGGAAACAACGAACCCTCGCGATTCTCTCGATACTCACACACCGAAGGACCGGCTTCGACTGTCGAGCGACGGTTGACTCGACCCGCTAGTCGCCGCTACTGTCAACGACACGCGGATTACACACCCTCTCTCGCGTCTCTCCACGCGGCACCACCAACGGACCGCGACTACGCTATCTCTCCCCTTCGGCCGACGCGCTCCCCACTCCGTGCCGCGACCCCCCGACGAGTCACGAACCCTCTCGAGCATCCACGAATGAACCAATGCGCATGCGACCGCCGCTGGACGCGCGTCGAATGAATTCAAACGCGAATCTTCCGTGGAATCCCCCGTGTAATCCATGAAGGATGGTTTAGGAATTCTCCACGGGGGATCTACCCCTCTTCGACTTTGATGACCTTGAAATATGTCAAGGACATCCTTTTGAACAACTTTTTCAAATACGTGTACGTGGCGTCGGTTTTAGTTTTCGAGATATTTGCAAAAATATTTTGTAATATATGACTTAACGTAGCTGCACAAGGTTTGCGTAACGGGCCGCTGTTTCTTGGTTACTTTTTCTGTAATCATGCTACAACGGTTCAGAATTGTTCTGAGAGCTTGAAATCGACTGATTAGATTTTGTTTTAATTCGGTCCAGTAGTTTTTTAGTTTTTTTTAAGAAAACTTAACTGAATAACGCAATCTAGATGGGAGAATATAAATTTATGAGTAAATAACTAAACGGAAATAAATAATATGTATACATATATTATTATTATTATATTTATGCGTATATAATACAATATATACATACAGGGTGCTCCAAAAGTATGGAAACAGTCAAATATTTCCAAAATGGAACATTTGCGAGGAAAATGGTTCAGAGAAATGTTTTAGGGTTTCAAAGATCCTATTGAATGATCGCGTCCGTTTGACCTTCAAAGGACCGGTCAAAGTCACGTCAAGGTCAACATGATTTTTTTAATAGAACATCTCATTTTGTATCATGCACTGCGAAAGCTGGGTATGAGAACTTTTCAAAACACTAGTTTCAAACATTTTTTTTTATTCGTGATAGATGGCGCTGTAATCGGAAATCGGGAAGTTCCTTGGTTCCTCGTGTGGCCCGTAAAGGGTCGCACACAAAATAAACACGAATAGCTATATGAATTAAGACGAGCAACAATAACCAGCTAGTTTTTCATGTACTTGGCGTCTCTAGATATTCAAACCCAGAAACGTCGCGAACTGTTTTCTCGCGTTCATCGCGCATAGAAAATGAGCCGGATAATACCTGACCTTGTTTCCTTCGGTGAGAAGCTCTCACGCAACAGCTCAGCCGTTATTAATCTTCTCGATAAACCAATTACTCCCCGTAAAATCCGTCGAACGGGTAAGCAGCTTAAATATTATTTCGACGTTCACACGCGAAGCTTAGCTAGTACCGAAATTTTCTTAACCCGACGACCTACCGTGGAATTAACGTTACGTGGAGCTGGTCCAATTACGAGTGGATTTAATATTCGCGATTTAACCGAACGTAGAGGAATACACACTAACGCAAAGGAAGACGGGCTGTCGAGTGTCCCGGGGCGGTTAACCATCCGCGTTGCCGTGACGAAAGAAATCGAGCCATTACGAGCGGAGCCGTTGCGCAGATTTAAATTCTAATTCGTGGTCGACGATGGTAGGGCTCGGTTAAGTTCGCTAGGCGAGGCGAACTAATGCTGCCCCCCCCCCCCCCGCCCCCCTTCCTCGCCGCCGTGGCCCCCGAAGGAATTTGTAAATTCGTCGGTGGAAGTTTTAATCGTCCATCAGGGAAGAAACGAGGAGCACGAACTTTTCGCATAATAATTCTTTCCTACCTTTCCCGCGTCGAGCCGCTTCCCGTCCTTCTTCTTCGCCGACTGGGAAAACGAGTAGAAACGATTCGCGTACGCGAACGAGTATTCCCTTGTAACTTCCGGGGTCCCTGGCGAAATAACCTTGGAGGACTTCATTTTTTCTTATCGTGGATCCGTCCACAAACACATCGCCGAGTTAATACCTTCAGCTTTTAACCTATAGGTTTCCAAGTATTCACAGACATTCAGACTTATAAGGGAACGGGGTAGCCCCGATCACTTTTTTCCTATTGATATTTCCCATATAACAAGATACGATAAAAACGACAAATACCATCGAGAACATTCTTAAACTTAACATAAAACTACTTAACCCCCCGACACCGGTGCTGGGTCACTTTTCCGACGTTAATTTCGAAGTCCCATTCCTCTGTCATCGCGAGTGCCGAGCCATGTGTTTACAATTTACATTGCAACTCGATCTGTAGCAATCGGCTCTCCCCACTATTCTAACTTTTAGCGACGGAAACGTTTTGAACTTTATTGCAAAAGAAGTAGTTTTCGAGACAAAATATTACGACATTCGCAAAAGTCACTAAAATGGCGCATCGAGTATTCTAATGTATTCTAATGTACGTATTCTAATGTAATAATGTATGTAGATTGAATGGCAAGTTCGTGAAATTTTTATATTGACGAAAGATTTATACCATGGTATAAATCTAAAAAAACAAGAAAAGAAACAATTTTGCATTATTTTTCCGAAACGATCATGTATGTACAAATGCAATTTTGGAACAGACGCGTCCTTTCCTTAGAGAAAATAACGAGTAAGAAAAGACAGTCGTACCGAGTTTCAAACTGGGGATTGAAACGTCGACCTCAACGTGAAGTGATCAATATTTTATGAAACATATTTCATACATTTTGTATGAATTTTGCGCGCAGATTCGTTGGAAAACCGGTAGATGGTTTTGTGGCATAATCCCAAGGGTCTGAAACAAGAATGGTAGGTCCTGAACCATGGATATATTCCTGAGAGATATGAGGGAAGATTTTAATTCTAAAATACGATCGTGAAAGAACCATTAGATTTTGTAATCAGAAGCTCACCTGACAGTTTTCTTCCGTGCTAAATGTTGCAGGAAAGCAACTCTAGAATTTATCTCTGATAAATTGTTTAAAGAATTGATATTCGTAAATCCTCAAATTCGTTAAAAGGGGAAACTTTTGAAGGACTAAAGAATGAAATGACAGTTTTTGACAATAAACAATGTGCCACGAATCTAATTACTAGACTGCGGATCTTTATGCATTTATAGGAAATTTTAATGTGCAAGAAACTACGATATGCAAACAATGTGCAAGAATATAAAAAAGATTGAAAGTAAAGTTCTCGGTTTGGGATTCGAGTTCTTGAATTTTTCAAGATCTCGTCTCGTCTCGAATATTCGAGTTTCATCTCGTTTCGAATTTCGTGATCTCGCCCAGCCTTGTCGATTCGACATACTCTGGTGTTTTCGCTCCGTCCTCTTTTTCATTCGCTGTCCTTCTCTAACGTTCGAAGCTCGACGGCACACATCAGAGAATATACGATCATGTAAACACTGCACGGCGATCGAACTCCTCGACCCCCAAGGGATATACCTCCCAGTGGTGGGGATGGTTTCTGTTATCGTAGACAAATTTGTGCAGTTATAGAGACTTTACTGTATTCGTCTTTTATAACAGTAACGACAGAGGATCAGGTAACAGTAATTACAAGCTGCATTTTATTAACGAAATGTAATGGTTTTGTAGACAAAATCTCGATGCTGATGAGAAATGTTATTATTGATGAGCAACACGGATTTGTCCATGGCCGCTCTACTGTAACCAATCTGCTGCTATTTTAATTTTTAAAATCGTCAATAGTAGAATTGAATGTCCCAGGATACTGGAACTATCGAAATTTAATATTCCAAGTAGACAACTTCGAAGCAGCGATACTTTTTACATTGATCCATATCGTACCTCAATTACGAAACAAAATTCTGCTACAAGAATACGTGCGATAGCTAACAGCCTTAATATGTCTGTTGATCTTTTTCATGGCTCACCTTTAGCATTTCAGAGGTCAGTCGTTGGACTTTGCAGATGCGCAATCAAGTTTGAACACGTTACATCATAAGATACCGTAATCGTCTCCATTTTTGTTTTGTTCTTCTTGTTGTCATTGTTATTACATCGTACTTGATATCAAGAGCAGGTTGTCCGTAAATAAAGTATTATTATTATTATTATTATTAATAATATTCGTATTATGCAGAACGCGAAATCGGTGACGAGCGTCGATCAAATCTAGCAACGGATGCGTGCTCGATGTATTCGTTGAAGTTTCACGAGATCCGTGATCCAGAGTTTCCATGGAAGGCTGGAGTTGCATTTGCCCAGGAAGGCTGCTTCAGGGTCCAGTTTTTACGACAAGCGTACGTCTCCGCGTCTTGTCGCTCGTCTTCGAGGTGTATTTGACTCTCGAGGTCGCGGGTTCAGTGCCCGGTTGCAGAATTCGCTTCCCCAGGACTATTTCTCTCGAGATCGAGCAGCGCGCTTTTTACGAGTGGGACAGATACAACGCACGCTACATACTTGTCCAGGCATTGCTTACACCTTATATCGCGACTCCGTCTTGTTCCACTTGCAGCTGGTTTATGGGCGCTGCCACGTCGCTGTTCAGTCGCGAAAACTTACGGGGTTGTGTGAGAGTTGGTTTTGGAACGAGGGAGAGCAAGGAAGGTTGATATGCGTGGAGAGGGAATAAGGTTGGTAGTGTGTAAGCGAAAGAGGTTAGAGTGAATTAAGGTAAAAGATCCATGTCCGTGTCATCAATGATGTTTTAATACACTAATTACTTATTAAATATATTAATCATAAAAAGTGTTGAAATTTGTTCCACCTTCCCACAGGTTGAGAGCGTGGCTCGGCACGGAGAAGACGAGTCAAAACTCGTTTAAATTTACAGAGAGTAATTTGATGTGTAAAACGAAGTAATCGATGGTTGTTGCACCAGCCTCAACGTGTAAATAATATTTTAATCTTCTCTTCCAAATTGAAAATTCTCCAAACGCATTCAGTCCTGTCAGCGGCAGCAAAAGGCACATTTATCACTT